CCGGCCACGGGCCGGGGGACCCCCCCCGGGGGCTGTGGGCACCTGGGGAGAGGCCAGGGCAGCTGGGGCAGCACCGCTCAGGGCAGCCACACAGTGCACGGAGGCTTCGCACCAGCCCAAAGGACCTGGCGTGAGGTCGAGGGCCAGGAGAGGGCCTGGGGCCAGCTGGCCACCCAGCCACCGTGGGCCAGAGCCTGGTGGAGCAGCCGAGCCCCTGCCCAGCCCTGCGGGGCTGTGGGCACCTGGGGAGAGGCCAGGGCAGCTGGGGCAGCACCGCTCAGGGCAGCCACACAGTGCACGGAGGCTTCGCACCAGCCCAAAGGACCTGGCGTGAGGTCGAGGGCCAGGAGAGGGCCTGGGGCCAGCTGGCCACCCAGCCACCGTGGGCCAGAGCCTGGTGGAGCAGCCGAGCCCCTGCCCAGCCCTGCAGGTCTCTGCCTGGCACTCACCTTGCTGGATGCTCTCGTCGTACACCTTCATGTGCATCACCAGCGTGGTGCTGTTGCGCAGCACCCGCGCCTCCGTCCCGTCCTTCTTGTTGCAGGTGCCCATCCTCTCAGAGGCCTGGTCAGCCCACCACAGCTTGTCACCTGGGTGGAGAAGGGAGGAACATGCAGCAGCTTTCTCCATCCCCTCCCGCCCCAGCGGCAGAGAGCAGTGGCTCCACACACAATTCCATGCCATGGGCTGGAAGAAAGTGTCCAGGCTTAGCCTTTGGTGGGGAATTGGTCTCTCCACTGCTGCTGGAGGTGCCAACGAGCAGCACGTGCGTGGGCAGGGCCAGGAGAAAGGGAAAGGGCTCCATGAACCACCCCCATTGCCCTGCCAGCTCTCACCCATGATGGCCAAGGCCGTCGCCTTGCTCAGCTGACTCTTCATGGACTCGATCACCTCCAGGTTGCTGCCGTCCAGGTCGCATCTGTTGATGGTGCCGTTGCCAGAGCTGATCCAGTACAGTTTGCTCTCTGGGTAGTCAATGGCCAGGCCTGGAAAGCAAAGGACCATCAGTGTCCACACAGGGACCATCAGCATGCAGGGGGTGGGGTGGGAGGGGCAGAGCAGAGAGGGTGACAGAAAGAACGGGCAGTGTGAGCCCAGGGAGACCGAGCACAAAGCAGCTGCCACGCCCCCGGGGCGCCAGCGGGAGGCTTGAGGCTTTTTGGGGTGTGGGGGGGTCCGTACCAACAGGCCCTTTCTGGTTGGTGAAGAGGAGGGTGCGGTTGCTGCCATCCATGTTGGCCATGCTGATGTTGTCCCCGTCGGTCCAGTACAGCTTCCTGCAGCAGCGAGGGGACACTGAGCACAGTGGCTCCCACAGCCCCCCGGGGAAGAGCCTGGCCCACAGGCAGCTCAGTGCCCTCCCAGCCCACCCAGCTCCAGCCCCCCCGGCTTGCTCCAGGCTGCTCCCTGGGCCAAGGCCAGCCCCATGCAGGGGCTGTGGACAGACACCTCCCAGGCTGGCCCTCTGTCCTCTCACACCCCTCCTGCCCGCGCCCACACGTGGGGAGAGCAACCTGTGCTCTCCTCCACCGTGCACGTGTCCTGTCCCACGTACACCCACCTCCTCCTCCTTCAGCACTCCTGGCCTGACCCTGAGCCCCTCAGCAGTGTCCCCACAAAGACTCACCCCTGGAGCGGGTGGACCACCAGGCAGTGAGGCTTGTCCAGCCCCTGGATCACCGCGTTCTTGAAGGAGCCGTCCAGCCGTGCCACGTTGATCTGCTTCTTGTTGGCGTCATAGCTGGTCCAGAAGAGGTTTCTGGAAACCCAGTCCACAGAGAGGCCGTGAGCATTGGGCAGGTCTGAAAGGGAATGGAGACAGGAGACCTATTAGTTGTGAGAACAGCACTGGGATGATGCTCAGGTAAAGAGGAAAGGCTGATCTCAGGGAGCTGAAGGCTCCAGAGAGCTGGTGGCTCTGCCCTGCTCTGGGACCTGAGAGGAGCAGCCGTGGGGCGTGATGCTGCTCCACACCCACCCGCAGAGACAACGGTCTCCACCCCGGTGCCATTGATGAAAGCTCTCTTGATGGTCTGGGTGCGGACATCAGACCAGTAAATGCGCTGCTCCAGGGCGTCGTAGTCCACCACGGTGACGTTGTCGATGTCGGGCACCGTGAAGGAGATGATGTAGTTGTAGTAGGGGTTGTCAATGTCCACGCCCCGGATCTCCATCTGCCGCGCGTAGAGCAGGAACTTCTTAAACTCTGGGGAGAAGGACGAGAGGGGCGGTGGTGGGACCTCAGCCTGGTCTGCAGAGCCCTCCCTGCCCTGGGGCAGCCTGGACAGACCCTTACCATAGCAGGTCGTGTTGTCCTTGTCCAGCTTCATGAGGTGGGGGCAGGCACAGGACAAGGTGCGGTTGTAGTTTATGAGGCAGAGGTGGGAGCACGGCCCTTTGCCCTTGTTGGCTTCACAGGGATTAGGAGCTGCGAAGGGGACAAGACTCAGCGATGTCCCTGTTCCAGGGGACACCTACCCAAGAGGCCCCAGAGAGCTGCAGACCCCCCAGACCCTGCCTGTCCCATCAAGGAGCTCTGAGCAATCACCCCAGGACATCTCTCCTGGATGGCCAGGACCACAGAAGAGGCCTCCAGCCCAGTGGAGGCTGAGAAGGGGTTGCCGTGGTGCTGGGAGCAGCTCCCACACGATGCTCTGGTGGGTGTGGGCACTCACCAAGTGCCATCCCCATCTCCCCACCAGTCCCCACCCACCCAGTCCCACCCTGCTGCCTTCCCAGGCCTCACCCAGGGGCTGCCGGGAGGGGTGATAGACCTGCAGGTCGAAAGGCTGCGTGTTGGTCCTCTGCACCACTGTCACGTTGTGCCCTGTCCACTTGTTGGCCTTGGCCAGCGTGTTGGTGCGCCAGTCGGTCCAGTACACCTCACCCCCGTAGAGGGTGACAGCAAAGGGGTGTGACAGGTACTCGTGTCCCCGCAGCACCTCGATGTGCCCCGTCCCATCGTACAGGGCTGAGTAGATGGCGTCCGACCTGCACCCGGGGAAGACACGGGGTGGGGTGAGAGCGGGCAGGTGCCTGGGCAGGGGCCACCAGGCCTTCAACCCGACCGCAACAACCCCCGGGGCTGAGCTGCTGCCTCCCCCACGCTGCTTAACGCTCTGGAAGAGGATGGTGAGTGCTGATTGACACCAGGATCAGAGTCCCAGCAGAGGAGACCCAGAACAGAGGTTAGGAAGTGGCACAGACATAAACAGACTCCCCCCAAAGGGCTCCCAGCCCGACGATCACATGGCAGAAAACAGGCATGAGGCAGAGCTGGGAGGTCCAGGGAGGGACAGGGAGGGCAGGGGTCCAGAGGTGACAGGGTGGTACAAGGGTCCAGACGGGAGCAAAGGGATCCAGAGGGAATGGAGAGGGAGGGAGGCCGAAGAGGATGGAGTCCAGAGGAGATGGGGTCCAGAGGGGATTGGCAAGGGGAGTGGCGGGGCAGGGCTGGGTGCCCTGGTTGTACCTGGCGTCGATCCAGAGGATGCGCTTCTCCAGATAGTCGACGGTGAGCCCGTTGGGCCAGCCCCCCGAGCCCGTCTCCTTGTGGATGGTTCTCCGGCCCTCCCCACTCATGGAAGCCGCCTCGATGCGGGGCAGGCTGGCGTCCCAGTCTGTCCAGAACAGGATCCTGCCAGGGACAGTCAGCACAGGGACTCCAAGATCCGCCTCCTGAACTGGCAGTGCCCAGACAGCACCCCCTGGCCCGGTACTCCCACAAGATCCCGAGGTGAGGCCCCTCCAGCCTCACCCGTAGCGAGGGTCCAGGGCGATGGCGCGGGGGTGCTCGATGTCCCCAGCCAGCAGCGTGGTCCGCATGGTGCCGTCCAGCTTGGCCACCTCGATCTGGTCCAGGTTGCTCTCCACCCAGTAGATGTTGCCGGCGATCCAGTCCACGGCCAGTCCCTCGGGGGTGGCCAGCCCGTACTGGATCACCACCTCGAAGCTGGTCAGAGCTGGAGGCACAGTGCCGGGAGAGCTCAGGATGGTGCCTCTTCCCCAGCTCACCCACGACCATCAGACATACTCCTGAACTGCTCCACTTGGGCTGACTGGGGTCAGTGGTGGGGGACGCTGCTTCCCCAGATGGGGCCTGAACCCCGGCACTGATGGGGAGGGAGCCTGGCTCTGTTCACCCAGCTGCTGGGCTGCAATGACCGTAGGAAGTGCTGGGAACGCTAATTAACTGCTACCTAATGAGCAATGCTGGAGAGCAGAACGGGACCGCTATGGGCACTCTGGGCTCCCACCACTGCAGGGTGCCAACTGCCAGCACCTATCCCAGATCTGCACCCCTGCTTTCCCACCTGTCTGGCCACCCCCAGGGCTACGCACCTCCATTCTCCAGCAGCTTTCCCCTGTAGATCTTGTCCTCCACCACGTCGGTCCAGTACAGCGAGCTCTGGTTGAGGTGGAAGTCCAGGGCGATGGTGTTGCGCAGCCCGGGCACCAGGACGCTGTAGTCCCCCCGGTGCAGGTCAATGCGCCGGATCTCGTGGCGGTTGGAGAATATGATGAATGGCTTGAAGGGGTCTGGGGAAAGCAAAGCAGGGTCAGAAAGGGGGGCATGGACAAGGCAGGGGGAAGGGGGCTCTGCTCCCAGCCCCAGCTGTGGGACCACCAAGAGCCCTCCACCACAAAGGGCCACTTGTGCCAGGCAGGGACAGCAAGGGATCCAACCCCAGGATTGGGCTGTGCCCGTCAGCATGGTCCTCAGCCTCAGTCATAGAATCATAGAATGTCTGAGCTGGAAGGGACCCCAAAAGGTCATCTAATCCAACCCCCAAGTCATAAGCAGGGATATCTCCAACTAGATCAAGCTACTCAGAGCCTCATCCAGCCTGATCTTGAATGTCCCCAGGGATGGGGCCTCCACCACCTCTCTGGGCAACCTATTCCAGTGATCTCTCACCCTCACATTGAAGAACTTTTTCCTGAAGTCTAACCAGAATCTACTGTTTTCTAGCTTAAACCCATTACCCCTTGTTCTGTCTCTCCAAGCCCTTGTGAATAGTCCCCTGCTTTCTTGTAGGCCCCTCTCAGGTATTGGAAGGTCGTTATAAGGTCCCCCCAGAGCCTCCTCTTCTCTTGGCTGAACAACCCCAACTCCCTCAGCCTGTCCTCACAGCAGAGCTGCTCCAGCCCTCTGATGAAGAGCAGGAGGAGCACAACCCCACCACAGGCAGCCGGGGCGATGCTGCTGACCCTGCAGCCCACCACACCCACCCAGGCTGCGGCAGCTTTCGCCGTCGGGCTCCAGCATCCAGCCCTCGTAGCAGGAGCACTTGACGTTGTACTTGTCCTGCTCGCACTTCTGGCTGCACTTGAGGTGCTTGGCACAGTAGCTCTGGATCTGGCAGGTCTTGTTGTCCGAGCCCAGCTCCATGCCCAGGGGACAGGAGCAGACGATGCCCTCGCCAGGGGCCACGGTGCAGTTGTGGCTG